CTCTCTCTCTCTCTCTCTCTCTCTCTCTCTCTCTCTCTCTCTCACCCCTTGACTCCCATGTTCACCCACTGCTGCAGCCTATACCAGCTGTTTGCATGGACTGAATCATACAGAAATTGGTCCTTCTTCCCTTTCAAATTCAAACATCTGTAGGACAAAACACTTCCCACACAGAAGTCATTTAAAAACACAACAATATACTTTGAAGTTCAACCAATGAATAGATCTGAAAGAGGAAGGAAGTGTGAATGGCTGAATGGAGGACAACCAGGCTATGGCAATAGCTGGGAAACTTACACCAAGGCCAATGGCATAAACTAAGAGTGGAGCCACTAAGGTGGAATTCAGGCTACGAAGGCCATGGATGAGTCACATAAGCTCTCTGAGCCTCAACAATGTCTCTGTAGAGGACAGAGAATGGGATGCCATGTGACTGCATGAGAAAAAAAAACAAAGACTTAAAAAGTACTTATTATATAGTGCTTAGCATACAGGAGGAATTCACAAGAACACACATTTTTATGGCACCTTCATGGCTGAAGTGGTATTCAAAAGCAAAACTCATGCTTTTGCCCACAAACCAGTGTGTCAACTTTTCACCAAGGTTCTTCCCTATTCCCTCAGGAGTCCACTATTCCAGGCGATCATCCATAAATAATTCCCTCAAACCCCTTGCTTTTTTCTCCATTTTTAAACATTTTTTGTTTGTTTATAACAAGGTCTTACTAGGAGGTCCAGGTAGCTTAAACTTATATTGTCCAAGCTGGCCTTTTATTCATAATCTTTCTACCTTAGCCTCGAAAATACTGGGATTACAGGCATGCCTGCCCCTCAAGCTTTTATCATTAAAATATAAACTATTTTATTTAGAACATCATTTTATTTCTTGTTTTTTTTTTCCTATGTGGTGCTGGATTGAGCTGAAGACCTTGCATATGCTAGGCAAGCCACCTACCACTGAGACGTATTCCCAGCCTTCTTTTTTCCATCTTTAGTTTTAGACAAAATTTTGCTAAATTGTCTTCCCTGGCCAAGAACTCATGCCATAGATGGGCCTTGAACTTCAGCCTCCTTAACATGTGGATGTAGAGGGCGGTACCACCAGGCCCAACTATATTTTTAAAGACTGCTTGTGTCAACATAGTAGACCACAGGCCTCCAGAAGTCCTCCTAATTAAGACTTTTTTTAGGATGGTGAACAAATACCCTATTTAAAAAATAAAAGCTGCCATACAGTGTTACGTGGAAGAAAAACAAGGGAGTTGTTGAATGCTAGAAACCAACCCCAGAAAAAGCTGGCATTGAGCTAGAACCCGCCATGGGCATCTTCCTATGCTGTCCCCACAGCAGCATTCAGCACTTCTTTCTCTGCAGAGGCCTAGGTGGAAAGTGCTTCCTACTTTGCAGTCCATGTGGTATCTGCTAGAACTGCACACCTTTGCCCCTGGGGCACAAACATGTTCATCGACACTTGGACAAACAAAACAGTGAGAATAGCCATTGTGATGACTAGTCTTGGTTGTCAACTTGACTGCATCTGGGACCAACTAAAAGATAAGCTACTGGGTGCTTCTGTAACAGACTTTCTTGAAGAAATTATTTGAAGCAGTGAAGCCCCCATGAACCGGGCAGTACCTTCTGACGGCAGCCCAGACAGAAGGACATGGCAGAAGGAAACTGCTTTTTGCCTCCTGGCCCTCACTCTCACTGGCAAGTCCATCTACCCTGCTACTGAAGCATTCCCTTCACTGATATTAGAAGCAACTTGCTCAGAATTCCAGCGTAGACTGATGATCCACAGCAATCCAGGAATCCTTGAGGCCTTCAACACCAGGTGGGGATTGTGGAGGCAACGGCCTAGTATTCTCCACCTCTCCAATGAGAGACAGCCATTGTTCAACTGCCTCACCATATCATGTAAGACAATCTAATAAATCTCATATATGTGTGTGTGTGTGTATGTATTCATGTATTTTCATCTTTAAGAATATATATATATATATTCATTCTATCAGTTCTGTTCCTTTAGAGAACCTGACTAACACAGATGTGCTTTAGAAAACATTTATTTATAGACATCCAAGGAGAGAACTTGGCCCAGGAGTGGTAACTGACAGAAGCATACATCACAGTATGGATCCTCATAGTTCCCCTCCAGAATATGTCTACTGCATGAGATGTGTAGAAGCCACTGTAGCAATAGTCTTGATTTCTTCATATCTCACTGTATCCCTGTGGGAGGAGGTGGGCTCACTGCCTCTAGGCTAGACTGTGTGCCCCAGTTTGGTCAGTGGGGCAATATTAAATGCGGTACGTGAGAACAAGGCTCATCCTCTTGCTGTTCCAGGTCTTCACACATACCACTGTTTGCATTAGCTCACACCAGTCTGGGACACTCCCATTTCTCCAGCATACCCCCCCCCCAAAAAACACCCACCCCCCCCCCCCCCCCCCCCGTAAGTGAGACGGATGGGCCTTGAAAAAGAACTGCCAAGTTGAGCCCTACCCAGTTTCCTGAGCTAAAAGCACAATTATTCAAATCAACTAAGTGATTTTTTTCACAGCAAAAAAGTGAAATACATTCCACAGGAAGTTCACCATACTCTATAGCTATAATGGGAGAAGCAAGGAGGTATATTTACAGAAATAGTTTTTTTTTAAGACAGAAAATACATATTTTAAAATATATTTCCATTTCAAAGATCTTGTCACCCACCAGCAGGGATGGGCCCTCCCCTGTTCTTCCAGTGACTGAACAACTGTCCCTACCTGAGCAGACTTCTTTGTAGGTGGGATTGCGTGTGTAGCCTCCTGCAAAGCCCACTTGGGTTGAATACACTCCTTTCAAGAGCCAGAACTTGCGCTCAGCCCCCCAGAAGCAGCCCATTCCTGCAGAGAACAAAACAAAGATAAATCGTGTATCCGAAAGAAGACAGTTACTACGTGTCACCATATCCATCGGGGGAGACGGAGAAGCTCCTCCTATCATCTGATGATCAAAAAGGCCCAAAGGATTTAACACTGAAGAATAATTTAGTGCCAGCAAGATGGCTCAGCAGGAAAAGGCTTACTATGGAAGCCTGGTGACTGGAGTTCCAGCCCCAGAGCCACGAAAGTCAGATACAATGGCTCACATCTGTAACCCCAGGATTCTTGTGACAGAATGGTGGTGGCATGAGGACAGGGGAATCATCCTGAACCACGTGCAGAACAGCAGATATAACAGAGACCTCAATAGGCACAAGGAGAGAACCAGTTCCCAGGAAGTTGCCCTCTGTCCTCCCCATGCAAACATACAAACGCGTGAGCAATGAAAAGTAAACATTCTAAAACTTCTTAACATAATTTAAAGATAGAAAAAGTACACTTTTCTGAATAAGATCCTTTTTTTAAATTTATGTGCATTGGTGTTTTGCCTGCATGTATATCTGTATGAGGGTGTCAGATACCCTGGAGTTACAGTTATGAGTTGCCACATGGGTGCTACCCAGGTCCTCTGGAAGAGTAGTCAGTGCTCCTAACCACTGAGCCATATCTCCAGCTGCACAGGTAACTATTTTAAAAAGATTTCCACATTTACTTCATAATTTAATAGAAATTCATGTAATGATTAGCATCAGGGTCATTGTAACAAAGATGTGTAAGTCCGGGTTGATTGAAATGGGGAAAACATAACAAGATCAATAAAGATTGAGACAGTTATTGCCAATTAACAATTTCACAGATGTTTTCAGCTTTAAAAAAATTAAGTCACAATAAATCTGCAAGTGATAAAGCAAGGCTTACCCAAAAGTAAAATTTTCTCAGTTGGGGTGCAGGGAAGGCAGGGCAACGAAGGAACTACAAAGCGACCAACAAACTCAACCAGCAATCACCATGTTTAGACCAGCAGTCACCAGATCGGTTGGCCATCTGATGCAAACCAAGACTTGCCTCTGCAATCCACACATGCACAAATCATAAAGGCGGCACTGCCTTGACACAGTCCACCTTCTACCAGAAGATTCCCAATTACTGAGTTCTCCGGCTGTTCTCTGGCCCATTTTCACACATACATAAACAAGACTGCTCCATCTCCCAAGTTTTATATGCCTTCAATAAGTCATAGATGATTTTATCGGTTACTTTGTTGCCATAATAAAATGTCATGCATGACCAAAGACAAGTTAGGGAAGAGTCCATTTTGGCTGATATTTCCAAAGCGTGGTGGATCTGGAATGGTGGGGAAGGCCTGGGAGGCTCTATCAACAGGAAGCCAAGGAGGACTGGACGTGGAGTGAGGCTATAAACCCGCAAAGCCCTCCCCCAGTGATGTACTTCCTCCAGCAAGGCTGCTCCTACTAAAAGTTCCTTAACCACCACAAACAGCACCATCCACTGGGGACCAAGTGTTCAAATAACTAAGTCTATCGGGAACAATTTTTTTCATCCAAATCACCACACTAAGTTCTAGGTAAAACAAGTGGGTGAGCTAGTGTATGCCTTTGGAGCACAAACTCTACACCAGCTAGACTTTTGATGGAACCATAAGAACATATTTCATGATAGTCTTAACATTTGTTAATATTGTATTTCTAAAAATTCAAAGCAACATGGCAACTAAGAAAGATAGTGGACAGAAAGTTCTACAGTATTCAGAAATATTCTACTTGCTAAAATGGGAGCAGGAATCTAACAAAAAATAGGTTAATAGCTTTCAACAGTGATAAATCAAAATAATGAAATTCAATGCAGTGAAAATTACCATTATGTTGATAGTACAGCATGTATATGATTATATCATAATTATCTACAGCTAAATTAAAAAGGAAAAACACAATTATATGCATGCTTTTATTATAACTATAAAGAAATAATCATACCAAAATAGACTGGAGTGAAATATGCTAAAGTTGTAACCATGGTTTTTTATCAGGGTGAAGTATGTGAAAAAGGCTTCTCTTTATTTTTCTAAGTTTTCTGTCTCTGGGTGTGGTGGCTCATACTTATAATCCCAGCACCAGAAAGCGGGGGTAGCAAGATTTGCAGCAAGTTCAGGGTCAGCCTGGCCTACAGAGTGAGACCCTAAGCTCTAAAAAGCATGTTTTCCTGTAGTAGATTCCTATTAGTTTAAAAATGTAAAATGCAAACATTTTTTTAAAAAACAAAACACATAAAAACAGCATAAGAATATTTGTGCTTGGAGCTGCCTGTCATAACACTGTCTTTCCTGTTGCTGAGTGAATTGTTTGCTGGGAGGAAATATAAAAATGTATTGAGCATCTTTAAAACTGAGTGTCAGTATCTGTGGCACACAGGGTCACTGGTAAAGCTGGTTTTCCTGCAGTGCCCTTGCTGAGCAAAGACAACAGGACATGGCTGGAGAAGAAGGAAAAAGGGAGTTGAGTAACCCCTGCCAAGGTACAAGGAGTTGTGTGGAGCAGAGGACACCTACTATGGAGAGTCTGTGGGACTCTTTGAACGAAACAGTACAGCACTGCACCATGACTAACAGTGAAGGTGCCAGGGGCTTCCACAAATAGTACATTTTAAAAGGCTATTTGACCTCCCTGATCTTTCAGTGCATTCCCAGTGGGTCCCAGGCTGTCCAGGCCATCCATCTGTATGGTTCAGGGGTCTCCCTTTATCTGTGACTTCACTTTCTTATTAACAATCATTATCTAAAAATATCCAGTAGAAAATTCCAGAAATAATCAGCTCCCAGATTTTAAATTATACCCCACCCATGTAGTATGAGATTTCACACCACTCCATTCTTTCCGAGTCAGTAAATGAGCAATCCCCTTGCTATCTACCCACTAGTGACTTTGCCACCTAAGAAATCAGATCAACAGTGGCAGTGTTCCAGTGCCAGTATTCAAAGAACCCTTGTTGGCCTTAGAATGCCTCAAAGTACAGGAGTGATAACCAAGGGAATTCCAATACACAACCTAGAAGCCATAGATTGTATGCATAGAGTGGCCTATTGCTTCAGGCAGATGAAGGGTCTTGAAGCACACTCCACAGATAAGGAGTTTGACTGTTCTATAAGTTTTTAAAGACAAGCTGTGGAGGTTTGAATGAGATGCCCCCATAGTCTCAGACATTTAAATACTTGGTCCCGAGATAGTGGAGATATTTGGTGATGCTTTGGAGGTGTGTTGTTACTGGTGGAAATACATCACTGGAGGTGGGAATTTTGAGTTTAAAGACTCACTAGGTGGTGGTGGTTCACACCTTTAATCCCAGCACTCAGAAGGCAGAGCCAGGCAGATCTCTGAGTTCCAAGCCAGCTTGGTCTACAGAGCAAGTTCTATGACAGCCAAGACTACACAGAAAAACAAAACCAAAAACGAACACACTATTCCCAGTTTGCACTCTGCCTTATGCTTGAAATTTAAGCATTGAGCCCCAGGCTTCTGCTCTCAGCATCTAGTCCCTGTCTCCTGGGGCTCTGCTCACCAACATGGAATCTAGCCCTCTGCAACCTGGACGCCCAGAAGCCCACATAAACTCATTCTTTTAAAAGTTGCCTTAGTCACGGTGCTTTGTCACAACAATAGAAAAATAACTAACATAGAAGTTGGTACCAGGAGTGAGATATTGTGGTAACAGACCTGGCCATGCTGTTTCATAGAAAAATAAAATAAAAAAAAAAAAGAACCAACAACTTTGGGAGTTTGGACTAGAAAAGTCATTGAACATTGTAAGCAGAATTTAATGAGCCATCCTAGTAGGAGCCTAGAATGCAGCAGTGCTGAAAATCATGCAGACTGTGGAGACCCAGAACAAGGGGCTTCAAAGGGAGCAATATTAGCAGCTGTGCTAGAAATCATTATTGTGATATCTTGGCAAAGAGCATGGCTGTCTGGTGTTATCCTAAGAACTTGCCCAAGTAACACACTAATTTCTCTGGTGGAGGAAATATCAGGACAGCCTAATATTTACTCTGTCACATGGTTATTAGCCATCAATCTTATGCAGATCTACAATGAAAAAGAGCAAGTAGGACTAAAAGAAATACAAAATATACAGTTTGATAAGAAAAGAGTACCAAGAATCTTAATGTTGCAGCCAAGGTTTGCTGACAAGGGGGTTAAGAAAGGCCTCATCTGTATTGGAATAAAGGGAGAGGTAACCTCAGGGCAAGACTTTATCCATCTCAGCTTCCAACTTGTAAAAAGAAAGGCCCAAAGAATATTTCTGCTCCTAAATAGCAACAAAAAAGGAAAATGGCTGCAAATGTGATTCAAGGGGGTCAGGATCTGTCCCAAGCAAGAAGCTAAACTTGGCAGTGTTATCCACATTCTCTGGCTTTAGAGACATGAAGGATACACAAATTGGTTGCAGAATCTTCCTCCAGGGTTAAGAAGAGCCATTGAGGCCAGGCATTTGGCAGGGGAGTATCTACTTGGAGGCCCAGAAAGGCTCCTGCTTAAAGCTGTGAAAATGAAGCCTGGATTACCTGAAGACCCCAAGATGTTAGAGATGCCAGAACCATGGGATATTTGCCAAACAGAGCTGCAGACAGGCAGTGGAACCAGCCCCAAGAGTGCTTATTGCAGTGCAAAACTAGAAGGGTGGAGCCATCAAAGGCTTTGACACTGGATATGGAGCTACAAGATTGGAAGTTTGCCCTTCAAAGGTTCCATATTGCTTTGGTCCAGGATGTCTACACTATGTATGCCTCCAATCCTCTCTTTTGGAATAGCAATGTATACTTTGTACCATTATATGTTAGAAGTATGTAATTTTCTTTTTTATTTCACATAGGCTTACAATCAAGGGATTGTCTTGAGTCTCAAAAAGAGACTTTTAAGCAATGTTGATATTCTGAAAGACTGGGGACATTTGAAGCTGAATCAAATGTATTTGCATTGTAAAATGGCCATGAGAATATGGGAGTCAGG